CATCTGCTGCTTCCCCGGTGCCTTAGCAAGGAGCTGGATTGGAAGTGGAGAGTCCGGAACTAGAACTGGCACTGAGATATGATATGTGGGTGTCCCAAGCAGTGATGTAAGCCGCTGTACCAAATGCCCGTCCCCATGTTTTATTTACCTGTTGTTTATTTGGGAGGTAGACAGATAGCTCCCACCTGCTAGTTCACTCCCCAGATGCGCACACAGCTGGGTCTGAGCCAGTCCAAAGTCAGGAGCCAGAAATACCCACCCTGTTGTTTTTTTATCATCTGCCGTTATTATTTCCTCCGTGGCTTCAAGGTGATGGGCTGCTGCCTCACCCAGGCTTTTAAACAACTCAATTTTGGGCATAGGTGTTTGGCCCAGCAGGTGAGATGCTGCGTCCCAGATGGTGGTACCTGGGTTTGATGTCCGGCTGCACTCCTGATTCTGGCTTCCTGCTAATGGGCACCCGGGGAGGCGGAGGCAGCAGGTGATGATGGCTCAAGTAGCTGGGTCCCTACACCCGAATGGGAGACTTGGATTAAGTTCCGAGCGCCTGGCTTCGGGGTGGCCCAGCCCTAGCGGTTGTGGGCATTTGGAGAGGAAACAAGTAAATGGAATGTGTCTGTCTGTCTGGCCCTGTCTCTTTGCCTCTCACATACATGCATACATACATTTTTTTTTTAAAGAATTTACTTTTGGCAAGGACCCAGTACAGTCCCTGGTTTCTGCTGGCCGCTTCCCAGGCGCGGTGGTCTCTGGGCAGCCTGAGCGAGGCGCTGGGCAGCGGCCGGCCCTGCTGTTGACACTGGCACCCGCCTGGGCCCTGCCCTGTGGTCGTGCTGCCTTTCAAGGCAGGTTTTGTGTATTCCTGGAAAATAGTCCCTGCCGGGGCCTCCTCCAGCCTCGGGAGAAAACTCCCCTTTCGGGAATGCTGCGCGCACCGCCCTCACCCGCTGCCCGGGAAGGTGAATGCGGTGGGCGGGGCGGCCTCTCCCCAGCTCTGCTCTGCCGGCCTCTCCATCCTGGAGCAGAGCTGGCCTAGCTTCTCTTCCGGGTTTGAAGAGGAAGAGGAGGGAAGAGAAGTGTGGTACTGAAGTGAGACCCTGGTTCCGCCCTCACCGAAGGGACACAGCCATTGCAGCCTCGTGCGGAAAGGCAGTAAAGCGTGCGTATGAGCGGGTGAGCGAGGGTGCACCCGACGCCCAGTTGGCGGGTTCCAGGGCGCTCTGAACAAGCTTTCAAAACTGGGCCGGGGAGCAGGCAGAGTCCAGGACAAGCACTCGCGCCGGGGTGCAGCGCTGCCAGAACTGCCCTTTCCTAGGGGCGCCGGCGTGGGGGCGCAGTGGGTCAAGCTGCCATCGAGCACACCAGCACCCCGTATCGGAGCACTGGTGTGAGTCTTGACTGCTCTGCTTTCGGTCCAGCTTTCTGCTGATGTGTTTGGGAGGCAGCAAATGATGGCTTAAGCGCTTGGGCCCCTGCCACCTGCACGAGGGACCTGGATGGAGTTCCAGGCTCTTGCCGTCAGCCTGGTCCAGCCCTGGCCTTGCTGGGCATTTGGGGAATGAGCCAGCAGATGGAAGATCTATCTCTCTCTTTCTCTCCCTTTCTCTCTCCGTCATTATACCTTTCAAATAAATAAATAAACTGTAAAAAACTAAAACAAAAACAAAACCACACATACAGAAAAGACTGGCATCGTGGTGTAGTGGGTAAGGCTGCCACCTGCAACAGTCATCTCATATCGGCACCAGTTCAAGTCCTGGCTGCTCCACTTCCAGTCCAACTCTCTGCTAATGCACCTGGGAAAGCAGCGGAAGTACTTGAGCCCCTGCACCCACGTGGGGGACCAGGAAGAAGCTCCTGGCTCCTGGCTTCAGACCAGCCCAGCTTTGGCTATTGTGGCCATTTGGGGAGTGAACCAGCAGATGGAAGACCTCTCTCTCTCTGCCTGTCCCTCTCTCTCCCTCTAACTCTGCCTTTCAAATAAATAAATAAATCTTTTTTAAAAAAAGACAAAGTCTTTAGAGGAGCAGCTCACTCTTGGGGCGATGTTGTAGGAAGTCTCACACTGGAACCCCAAGCAGCACCAGGAGGTGTGGGCGGGGGGGCTCACAGCAGCATCCCCATGGGTCCCCACCCCACTCCCTGGACAGCAGCTCTTTGTGTGCTGTGGGGGTGGGATTGCCTGCACCATCTGTGTGGTTGTTTCTCCATCTTTTGAAGTACGGTAAATTATACATCCATAACATCTTGAAGATCCTTTTAGCCATTTGTAAGTGTACAATTTTGTGGCATTAAATAAGTTCACAAGTTGTGTAGTGATCACCACTATGTGTACCTCCCTGAATTTTTAAAAAACAGTACTTTGTTCATTAAAAAGATTTTTTTTTTTAATTTTTGACAGGCAGAGTGGACAGTGAGAGAGAGAGAGAGAGACAGAGAGGAAGGTCTTCCTTTTGCCGTTGGTTCACCCTCCAATGGCCGCCACGGCTGCGCGCTGTGGCTGGCGCACTGCGCTGATCTGAAGGCAGGAGCCAGGTGCTTCTCCTGGTCTCCCATGGGGTGCAGGGCCCAAGCACTTGGGCCATCCTCCACTGCACTCCCAGGCCACAGTGGAGAGCTGGCCCGGAAGAGGGGCAACCAGGACAGAATCCGGTGCCCTGACCGGGACTAGAACCTGGTGTGCTGGCGCCACAAGGCAGAGCATTAGCCTATTGAGCCATGGCGCCGGCCTAAAAATTTTTTTTAAAAATTGATTTGAAAGGCAGAGTGATGGAGAGAGAAAGAAGGAGAGACAGAGAGAGAGAGAGAGAGATCTTCCATCTACTGGTTCACTCCACAAATGACTGCAACAGTCAAATCTGGGCCAGGCCAAAGCCAGGAACCTGGAATTCCATCCAGATGTCCTGTGTGGGTGACAGGGAGCCAAGTATTTGAGCCACCTCCTGTTGCCTTCCCAGGTACCTTAGGAGGACGCTGGATTGGCAGCAGAGCAGCAGCTGGGACTCGGAGCAGCGCTCTGATGAGGGATGCCTGCTGTGCCACCATGTTATCCCCACCCCAGATTTTTGTTAAAATCATCAACAAAGACTCAGTTCCCACTAACCAGTTACGCCCGTTCCCTGCTTCCCCAGCTGATGTGGACCTCTGTTCCACTTCAGTTTTTATGAGTTCCACTACCGTGGGTGCCACCTGCAGGAGGAGTCACGCCCTGCGTGTCCTTTTGTGACAGGTTCCTTCACTCAGCATGTCGCAGGCTCCACCGTGTTGCAGCACGCGTCAGAACTTCCTTCTCTGGCTGTATCCTATTGCGCGGGATGGACAGATGCCATTTCGATTGCTCATTAATCTGCTGATGGACACAGGTGTTTCAGCCTTGGGCTGGTGTCAACACCGCCGCTATGGACATGGGGGTGCCGCCATCTGCCCGCATCCCTGTATCCAGCTCTTTGGAATGTACGAGTCCATCACTGGGGCTTATAGGCTGTCTGTGTTTACCTTTCGAGAAACTGCCACACTGGTCTTTGTTAAGATGTATTATTTATTTGAAGGGCCGAGTGACAGAGGAAAAGGGAGATCTTCCATTCGCTGTTTGCTCCCCAAATGGCCACACCAGGCAGGGCTCTGGGCCAGGCCAAAGCTGGGAGCCAGGAGCCAGGAACGCCAGCTGAGTCTCCCACACAGGTGTTGCCCAAGTACTTGGGCTGTCATCCACTGCCTCGCAGGTGCTTTAGCAGAGAGCTGGATTGGAAGTGTGAAACAGCTGGGGCTCTTTGAGACTGGATGTGGGCGTCCCAGGCAGCAGCTTAATCCACTACAGCACAGTGCTGTCTCTGCCGGACTGCTTTCACTGGTGTCTGCCCCGTTCTAACTCCTACCAGCAGTGCCCCGACTTTCTAAGTTTTTTTCTAATTTTTTTCACATTCCTGCCAGCACTTGCTGTTTTCTGGGTGTGTCCATGCCAGTAGGTGTGAGATTTCCTTCTTTTTCATCAGATAAATGGTTATTTGGGGTCAGCATGTGGCACAGTGGGTTAGGCTGCCACCTGCGACGCTGGCATCCCCAGTAAGTGCCAGTTTGAGTCCTGGCTGCTCCAATTCTGATCCAGCTCCCTGCTAATGCACCTAGGAAACCAGTGGAAGATAGCTCAAGTCCTTGGGCCCTTGCACTTACATGGGAGACCAAGATGGAGTTCCTGGCTCCTGGATTTGGACTGGTCCAACCCTGGCCTTTGTGGCCATTTGGGGAGCGAACCAGCGGATGGAAGACCTCTGTCTAGGTCTCTAGCTGTTTTGCCTGGTGATGTGTTTCTTGGAAGCGATCCCACTGAACTTGGCGTATGCTTATGGAATTGAGATCCTTTTTCATTCTGCTTTTAATGCATGTGAAATGATGCAAGTCGATGCATGAAACTGTCCCACTAAAAAATTTAATTTTTAATTAATTTAGTTCCTCAGTGTGCCGTGTCAGCAGCATGTATACTGAAACAGCGTGTATGCTGGAACAACGCCTCCTTGTTTCAGGCCCCATTCCAGCCTGCCTTCAGGCAATGTCTTTCTAGATTTTTCCATGCACTTACAGACGCATATGAGCATGTGAAAAAAGAAAGCCACGCTGTTTTCCATTCTTTATATAAACAGTATGAGGCCACTTTGATTTCTCAGTGACTTTCTTGTTGTCCTGAACCGATGAGCGGTCGGTTTTTCCAAGGTTGTATTTGCAGGGCTGAACTGTACTGTACTTGCTGACCCCGATGCACGGGTGTGCTGTTCTTTTAAAATGATTCTTGAACACAGGACAGTTTCTCATGCGTGTCCCTCCGTGCGACACCACGTGCAGCACTGGCCCTCGTCAAGAACAATGCGTGGCCCGGGCCAGCGCCTCAGTCCTCCTCTGGACATCCGGCCTCTGTTTGCACACTCCTGCAGGGCCTGTGGGCTGCCTGCCAGGGGCAGTTTCCTGCACAGCAGGCCTCGCTGACCTTCTGTGTCTCTGCTTTGCAGGCCAAGAATAAGGAGACGGGCGCCTTGGCCGCAGCCAAGGTCATTGAGACCAAGAGCGAGGAGGAGCTGGAGGACTACATCGTGGAGATTGAGATCCTGGCCACGTGCGACCACCCCTACATTGTGAAGCTCCTGGGAGCCTATTACTACGATGGGAAGCTGTGGGTAAGGTGCCTCCCTCCGCCCCTCCTTGCCTGCATGGGTTCTGGACTTCATCTAGCCCTGAGGTTTTCAGTTCTGTGCCTCAGCTTCACGGGCAAGGAGAAGGTGAAGTGGGGGAGCTCCAGGCCTCCTGCCTGCCCCTTCCCGTGGGGCCCCTGCCTGTCAGATGGGGGCTGTGGTTTGGAACAGGAAGCACTGCCAGAGCTCTGCTGCTTGGCTTTGCATCCCAGCACAAGCTGGATACCTGTAGCCAAGGCTAAGCTTTCCATGCCTTGGTTTTTCCATCTGGAAGATGGGCCTAATCATGCAAGTGGAGCATCCCTGATGTAGAAATCTGAAATCCCAGGTGGCTCTGGAATCTAAAACTTCTTGAGCACTGCCACTCAGAAAGTGTCAGATTTGGGAGCATCGCAGGTCTCGGGTGCTCCGATTAGGGATGCTGACCCGTAAACGACCACGCACGGGTTCTGAAATGCGGAACGCTCCGGAGCAGAAACGCTCGTGGTCCCAGGCATTTCGGGTAGGGAAGACTCAGGCTGTCATGTCTGGCCCACAGAGCGGGTACGAGGATTAAATGAGGGAGCTCATGGTGGCTGCTCAGGGGAGGCCTGGCCCGTGCGACGGCGCAGTGAGCGCTGGCTGTTGTGTTGTTTGTGTTGCTAGTGCCGCTCCCGCTCCTGCAGGGCTGCTCCAGGGGGATTCCTTTCGATGGCTGCTCTCAGGAAGTGGGGGCTCTTCAACAGCGCCCCCAGCTCTCCGCCAGCATCCTCATCCCTGGGTGTGCACAGCTCAGGTACAGCTCTGGGCCCCACCTTTCCAACTCAGCATCACCTCGAGTTCAAGTCAGGAAATCTGGGGTGCCCCAGCCTGTCTCCTCCCTGGCGTTCTCCTGAAGTGAATACCTCTCACAGATAAAACCCAGTTTTCCCAGACTGTGCCTCTCTTCAGACTGGTTTTTGCCAGGATCTTGTATGTAAAATATCGTACTTGCACTTGAGTGTTGTGGCACAGCAGAACCCCAGTTCAAGTCCAGGCTACTCCACTTCTGATCCAGCTTCCACTAATCTATCTTGGGAGGCAGTGGATGATGGCTCAAGTGCTTGGGCCCCTGCCACTCATGTGGGAGACCTGGATGAAGCTTCTGGGTTTGGCTTGGCCCAGTCCTGGCTGTTGTGGCCACATGTGGAGTGACATAGCGGATGGAAGATCTCTCTTTCTTTCTTTCTGCCTCTCCATGTCTGTGACTCTTTGAAATAAAATAAATCTTTATACAAAAAATACACATGGTCCTCCGAGGAAAATGAGGATATAGAGAAAGGCAGAAGGAAAACAGTGAGAGCTACCCGGATTTTTATCCCCGAGCTAGCTCCTGGTACCATTTGGAACATGCATTGTGGAGCTCTTCTGTGCGCACCTGTGCGTGGTGTTCTCTGGAGGGGAGCCCACCCGCCTGCCTGCTACTTACCTTTTTTACTCTTTTTTATTGAAGATGCTAAGAACATCTTTCCATGACCATGGAAAGCCGTCTTCTGGCTGTGCCCATCTCCATCGCCGGGCACCCTGGCCCCTCCCCGCACGGTTTTAGCTGTCATAAACAATTCTGTGTGGCAGTCTTTGCGTTTCTTCTGTTCTTGTTTGAGAAGCTCTTCACCTGAGCTCTTTTTTTTTAAAGATTTATTTATTTATTTTTATGATTTTTAGATTTATTTATTTATTTGAAAGTCAGAGTTACAGAGAGAGGAGAGGCGGGGTAGGGGGAGGTCTTCCCTCCGATGGTTCCCTCCCCAGTTGGCTGCAACGGCTGGAGCTGAGCTGATCTGAAGCCAGGAGCTTCAGGAACTTCTTCTCGGCCTCCCACATGGGTGCAGGGGCCCAAGAACTTGGGCCATCTTCTTCTTCTTCTTCTTCTTTTTTTTTTTTTTTTTGACAGGCAGAGTGGACAGTGAGAGAGAGAGACAGAGAGAAAGGTCTTCCTTTGCCGTTGGTTCACCCTCCAATGGCCGCCGCGGCTGGCGCGCTGCGGCCGGCGCACCGCGCTGATCCGAAGGCAGGAGCCAGGTTCTTATCCTGGTCTCCCATGGGGTGCAGGGCCCAAGCACCTGGGCCATCCTCCACTGCACTCCCTGGCCACAGCAGAGAGCTGGACTGGAAGAGGGGCAACTGGGACAGAATCCGGTTCCCCGACCGGGACTAGAACCTGGTGTGCCGGCGCCGCAAGGCAGAGGATTAGCCTAGTGAGCCGCGGTGCCGGCCTTGGGCTATCTTCTACTCCTTTCCCAGGCCATAGCAGAGAGCTGGATTGGAAGTGGAGCGGCCGGGACTCAAACTGGTGCCCATATGGGATGCTGACACTACAGGCGGCGGCTTTACCCGCTACGCTACAGTGCCAGCCCCTACCTGAACATTTTTTTTTTAAATTTTTTTTTTATTTATTTGAAAGACAGAGTTACAGAGAGAGGTAGAGACACAGAGAGAGGTCTTCTATCTGCTGGTTCACTCCCCAATTGGCTGCAACGGCCAGAGCTGAGCCTATCTGAAGCTAGGAGTCAGGAGCTTCTTCTGGGTCTCCCACGTGGGTGCAGGGGCCCAAGGACTTGGGACATCTTGTACTGCTTTCCCAGGCCATAACAGACAGCTGGATTGGAAGAACAGCAGCCGGGACTAGAACCGGTGCCCATATAGGATGCTGGCGCTTCAGGCCAGGGCTTTAACCCACTGCACCACAGCGCTGGTCCCCTACCTGAACTTCTAAGGTCTTTAAGCATCTGCTGCTGAACTGGCTTCACAAAGCCACTTTTTTTGTTGTTGGTGGTCTTTCTATTTAATTAATGAATTTGACAGAGAAACAGAGAGAGGTCCTATCACCAAATGCCAGCAACTGTTGGGGCAGGACTGAGACTGAAGCTGTGAGCCAGAAACTCAATCCGCGTCTCTCCCATGGGCAACAGGGCCTCAATTCCTTGAGCCATCGTGTCTGGCTCCCTGGGTCTGTGTTGGTAGGAATCTGAAATCAGGAACTGGAAGCAGATATCAAACCAGGCCCTCCCAATCGGGACCCAGGTGTCTGAACTGGTGTCTTAACCACCAGGCCAAATGCCCGCTTCAACACAGTCACTTCTTTTTTTTTTTTTTTTTTTGACAGGCAGAGTGGACAGTGAGAGAGAGAGACAGAGAGAAAGGTCTTCCTTTGCTGTTGGTTCACCCTCCAATGGCCGCCACGGCTGGCGCGCTGCGGCCGGCGCACTGCGCTGATCCGATTGCAAGAGCCAGGTACTTATCCAGGTCTCCCATGGGGTGCAGGGCCCAAGCACTTGGGCCATCCTCCACTGCACTCCCTGGCCACAGCAGAGAGCTGGCCTGAAAGAGGGGCAACCGGGACAGAATCCGGCGCCCCAACCGGGACTAGAACCTGGTGTGCCGGCACCACAAGGCGGAGGATTAGCCTAGTGAGCCGCGGCGCTGGCACAGTCACTTCTGATGTTAACCGCCACTGCGCTTCTGTCTGCCCAGCCTCTCACCCGTCCGTCTGTCTGTCTTTCATCCATCGTCTGGTCCGCTCACATATCATTTGTTGAATTACTGCTCATTATGCACCCATTAAAAAAAATCTATTGAATATCTAGTCTCATTGCTGATGGTAGCTGGATACCAAGTTCATTACTTTCCCAAGTCCAAAGATAACAGCTGGTGTTTATTGAAGGTTTGCTGTGTGCTGGGCCTCTTGCTATGAGCTCCACATGTTTTCTGTCATTCGATCTTCCTCCTGTGAGGTGGGCCTTGTCCCACCCTTGCAGAAGAAAGTGAGAACCCAAGAGGGTTCGCCAGCTACTCCCACCCCCCATCTCCCCACACGACCACTGGCTAAAAAGTAGCGGAGCTGGGAAGGCAGATAGAAAGAACGGTTCCTAACAGGACAGCCTCGGCCTTGTGGTTGCTTAAACAGATATGCCAGCATTTTCTGTCCCAAAGTTGTCACTTCAGGCCTACATCTCTTGTCCAGGGCTGCTGCTAAGGCCACAGCTGTTTCTTGCTGTCCCTTTTTGTGGCTGTCCCTGTGGCCTGACTGTTACTTTGTAGACCCTTAGAGTTCTGTCTTCTCCTTGCTGAGCATCTGGGTTTAGGACATTGTGAGATCAAAGAAGGTGGCAATGGATGGATAAAGGAGAGGGACAGGATGCCACGCAGAAGGGACAGCATGATCCACACACAGCATGGAGGCAGGAAAGGTGGGGCCTTGGGTGCTTGGGTAATGGGAGTCTGGGCTAGGGGTGTCCCCTGGTGAAAGACAAGGCTTGTGAGGTAAGGTATGGCTGCTTTGTGCGTGGCTTTGAATGCCAAGTGAAGACCTTGTACTTGATCTCTGTTGAGACATGCGGCATCTCAGGCCCCAGCTATTGGGGGTGGCCAGCAATCTGCATTCGAGTGGCTCTCTGGCTTGTTTAAGCTTGAGAACCACTGTTGCGGCTCACAGGGACCCAGTGACAGCTTCCCACAGTGGAGAGACACGTCTTCTATGGTTTAGGAAGGAGTCAGGTTTGAAGGGGCCAGGAAAGCATAGTGGTTGGTCAGGAAGTGGTGAGAAGCTCCAGGGTGTGATGTGGGCAGAGAAGACTTTGGAAGAAGGGACATTTGAACTGGATCTCACAGGATGCATAGGAGTCCTCCAGAGGGCTAAGGAAAGGAAATACCATCAGTGGGAGGACCAGCATGGGCAGAAGCCTGGAAGGGAGAAGTTGTGTGGCCCTGAGGCGGAACGAGAGAGGGTGCACCAGCCCTTAGCTCTTATTTTCTGAGAGGTGGCCGTCAGGTCCGCCTCGCGGCCAGGCCCAGGGCCTTCTGTGGTCCCAGAAGCCAGGTTTTTCATGTGCACGTCTTTGACAGAACCGGTCTTGGACACAGGCTGTGCTGTCAAAGACTTGGGGTTGAGAAACTGGCTGTTGCCGCAGTGTCCTGGGCCCTTCTCAAGCCGTGACAGCTGTGGACAGACTGTCCCTGCGCAGGGC